TCCACCTCGTGTGAGGTAATTGAGTCTCGACCGCAACACCGTGATGGTCATCTTCCCGCAATGGGTGTTTGACTCATCCAAGAACACCAAGCGCGCTTTAAGCCCTGACACATGAGACAGCGACCGTGACTGTCAGACAGAGCCAGGTAACGACCGCATCCATAAACACATGGGTGGAATGATATCTTTAAAAAGACGCAGTGTCACACCCATGCTTGCTCTTTTAGGGAAATAAGCTCTTTCAGTGCTAAAGTGCACAGGGGAAATGGTCACGGCACAGCTCGCAGGATTTAGTGGCTTCTGCGGTGTGCAACAAGCTCTTTAAGGCTATATGAGAACAGCATAAATCTCTTTGAAGTCGCAACCACAGCTGCAGCGCCATCACACCAACACCGGATGCAGAACTTCTCCCGTAGAGCAATCGCAGACACTCTTAGAGGTGATTGGTAGAGAACAGTACAACCACTAGGCTTTGAAGCGAAAAGCTGAATGTGCATTGCACGCTCTCTTCCTTATATACCCACTTTGCGGGGCGGAGTTCGCGATGCAAATCGCGCACGCCAATGTGCATTGGCTCGTTTAGTTTAGTTTAGTTTAGTTTAGTTAACGTAGAACATGATTGACTGAAAGGAAACTTTTATCTTTAATAAGACTGCACAACAATGCTGGACACAACAATATATATCTATGGGTACAACATGGATCAAAAGACTGATACATACCTCATAGTTTTGAATAGATTTTTTTTGTAAAGTTTTCAAATTTATCCTGATAAATGTGGATGCCTTAGATGCAATCGAGTATAGAAAAACCTACAACCAATAAGTACCACAAAGTAAGTTTGTCTTAAAAAAAACCCCAGGCATATCTAAAAGATCAGACAAAATCAGATCTGTTTGCTGGATGAACCAAATGAATTCAGTAACAGGCTATAGAGGACCTGCTTGCAGTGCCTCCAGATATAGCTAAACATAAATATGATCATCTTTCTTGATTATTACATTTAGTCTTTCCCTGATACTGCTCCAAAAGCTCAACAGAATTGTGTGCAGGTGCTGTTACTCCATGGCAATTTGAAAAGCCATTATTATAATGTCAGAACTTCCTAGAACAATCAATTCTAATTCCCTTGGTGACAATCTCACTCTGTCATGTTCATGCACAGCTCACTGCTCATTGGCTGCCTCTGATTAACAGGCAGACCAATAACACTGCAGACATGACTTTTAGATAATGTTGTGTGAGTCAGAGTTATGTCTCAATTTATGGTGGAAAAAAAAATACTAATCAACTGTTCAACAATCAATTGTTTAAAACTCAAGTCTTTAAGTCGTACTATGTCACCACATCACTGGTGGATGATGGTCACAGAGTAAAGAAAAACTTAAGCTTCAGCAATCTTGCTTATATGCTTTTTATATGCTTCTAATACCTTATATGCTGATTTGTTGCTCAAGGTCACAGTTGAAAATGGTTGTGCTGCTTAATATTTTTGTGGAAACTTTTGCGTTTGATTATTTTTTTGCATTAATGTTAAAATGATGACAGCATCAATTTACATAAATGTTCTTTCTTTCCAAAAAAAAACGAAACAAAAAATATTGATGACCCCAAACTTTTACGTTAGTTAAAGTCCTATTGTACTTACAAGATACTTCAATGTACTTCAAAGAACATTATTGTATTACCATGATACAAGTAAAACTAATGTATAATTTTTTCCCTTACCATGATAAAATTACTACTAATTATTATTACTACTTTATATAAAATCCACCGATGTTAAATAAAGGAAAGAAATAAGCCTGGTGTTCTTAACTATTGCTTGGGAATCTGGGACAGCAATACTTAAAGTTATCTGTAGAAAATACGGCTCTCTCAGGAGCGACTAAGTCAGTCAAGCAGTAACTGGCAAACAGATGGCATAGAATTTTTTCAAACATTGTTCCCTTTACCAGTCAATTCAAGATGTGCAGCAATGAGTCACGTTTAGCTGATGTTACAACACAAGTTCTGAATAAAATGCTGAAATTTTTAACCTCACCTGCAAATGCTTCAGCTATGAAGCAGACTTCACTAAATGATAGTGATATTTTGGTTTTGTGGAATGGTAATATTATTTGGGTTTTCAGAATCCATAAATCTGTGACAAATCTGGAAAAACACGGTATTGTTTTTCTAATCTAGTAGAAAAGTCATGCCAGCTATCATAAAACAACACAAACAGAACAACAAACATAAAAGCAGTAACTTCCAGAATAATTGGAACTCTTGACATATGTGCATTAGATTAATATTCTTTGCTTTGAAAACATCTGGCTATCCCAAAGCTTGCCAAAAATTAAGAGATGCCCATGCTCATGTAAGAAATTGAGGAGACTTAAGACTATAGACATTTATAAATGAGACAATGCATTTAAAATAGTTTATTGTACACACAACAAAGACCACAGATGGACAATTGCGGGTGCTTTTAGCATCCTGGTTTCAACAATCCTGAAACCTGTAATTAAACCATCTCCATTCCAACAAAACAGTTGGAAGGTTCGCCAGAAGAAAACTCTTAACTCTTGCCAAAGTAAAAAAGAAATTGGCTAGACGTAAAAATAAACAAAAAACACAGCTATCTGTCATTGGTTTAGTTTTGGTGTAAAAAATGTTATCTCATGCAGACAATAACAAATTCTCTCTATGAGGTCTGATCATTTGGTTTTCTTTCAAAAAAACAGATTCAATTCTTTAAATTCCAGATTTTACATCAACATCTGTATGCCAGTGCCAGCAAATGCAATACAATGCTTTGTAACATGCCTCTATACATGCGTTATTTCCTTACTACGGGGGCTGTTGAATGCTTAAATCTGATTGGTTGATGAACATTCTAAGTTGTGCATGTGCAATCATTTTCAGGGAAACATAAGGCAAAAGTGTAGTTCCAGGCAGGTCTTGACCGCAATACGTTCATATCACTTCGCCAAATGATTTCAGTCATTTCAAAGGTCCTTACAACCTACAACAGCAAAAGAACTAAAACCCACAACGACACGGACCAAGCAAAAAAAATAATTAAACAATAGGATACAAATGACAAATTATTTCAATGATGTTGCCACAAAATTACATTTTATTATGCAGGGAAAGCGCATACTCTCCCGCTCTCCCACTCAAATGCACACACACATAGTGCAGACACACACTCACTATAAATGTGTTGTCCGCTGCTCTGTCAATTTTATCAGTAAAAGAGTAGCAACCTAAACGCGACATGACATTTAAAACTAGGGAATATCGGCGCTGTTCCTGACGCTGATAAGCTTACAGTTTCGCTAGAGACGCTGTTGGCGAAGACTGCTGAGATACGCACAGTATTAGTACACGTTTAACCGCTTGTGGTGTGCATTATTTCCTAATAATTCAACAGACAGTCATCAATTATTCCTTACTTACCGTAAAACTTCAAATAGTAGCCCAGGCTTTTATTTTCCCAAATCGTCGAACTGCACCGGCTTGTATTTTGAGACAGGCGTCTATATGAGACAGGCCTTTATCATTTAGGCCATGTTTACACGGAAACGATCTGAAGAGAAAACGCAAAAGTGGCGTTTCGTTTTCACTTTTTATTCTGCGTTTAGACGAGCGTTATGGGGGGGAAATCTGCGTGCATATGGAGACGCAAAAGTGTTAGAAATGCGATGTAGTATGCACTCCAGGCGGCTAGGTGGCAATGTGAAGCACTGCCAAACAACAACAACAAGTCCGTGCGCCTGCATACAACCTTCCTTCTACTTCTCTCCCTAGTAGCGCGAATGCCAAAAAGCGGACGATCTGACGGTTTTAGAGGATAAAATACAACCCGAAACTAAAAAACAGACCCGGCCTTTATTTACCCAAACCTGCAGCCACACCAGGCGTGTAAAAGAGACAGGCGTCTATTTGGGACTCGGCTATTATTTGAAGTTTTACGTAATCATTATTAAAGAAGGGTTTCCGTGTTTGAGGGAACTGCAGGGGTTTGCGACTGGTTGAAAAGCTAATAATTAAAATAAATAATTTTAAATACAATAAGCAGACTATTGTCTTTCTAGAGTTGCTTCACAGCAGAAGTTGAATGTCTCATATTTAAAGTTTGTTAGTTTCCTGTAATTTACTTTGAGGCTGCTTTGAAACAATCTGTATTGTTAAAATCTCTATAGGTATAAATAAAAGTGACTTGACTTCGAATAAAAACAATCAAAATAAAACACTAAAATATTACATATCATTTCAGTATTAAATCTCAGTGGGTTCTTCAAGAAAATATTACATGTCAAAAGGGGTTCGGCTGACTATAAAGTTTGAGAATCCCTGTATTAAAGGACTCAATGTTCTAACACTAAAGCGTGTCCAAATAGTGCAGTGACCCACATCAAAGATAACCTTAAATAATTTGACCTCATAAAAGACTAGATTTATCCTAGTGGTTCAATGATAAGCAGATACATTTTCATCACCTTCTCTGCAAATAATAGCAATGCAAACTAAACCCTCAAAGGCAGAATGCAGTTAACGTTGTGTCTGCAGAGTAAGGGAATTTAACAGGGTCTGCTGGGGAGGGCTGGAGCTGGGATGAATGATTCAAAGAATTCTCAATGCTGTAAAACATTAGGCACTGTTGTTGTACAACTCTTGGATGCATCTTGCATAACTGACAGAGTGTTTTCTGCAGAGTGTAAATCAGAGGTCTGATCTCAATACACACAATGTGCTTTAGTGCCATGTCCTGCAAAGAGCACTCGACAAATTCTTTTGATCTGTTTCCACTGAATTTAGATACATAACATGCATTCCAACTTAACCAACTCAGGTGAGAGTTTGCATTGCGAGTTAAACAATAAAAACTCATCTCAGACAATTAATGCTTACAGGTATTTGATAATCCACTGATGAACATGACCTGTGCGACATAAACTCTAGCAACTTTAAAAAGTATAATACTGAACAGTTCTCAATTGGACACTTACCATCATAAACACTAACGTCAGCAGCCTAATGCTTTGGCTGTTCACTCACAGCATCAGCGCCACATCATCTTAATTCCTGCGCTCCTCATTCAAACACATTATTATTCCAGCACGTCAATCTCTCATCTTAACTGGACCATATGTGAGATGCATCCAAAGTCAGATTGTTCAGTGACTTTCTCTTGGTGTATTCTTCCGTTTCCAATGCAAAGTCTCCAAAGTCTCAGAACAAAGCACTGATCTCTAGCAACACGTTGCAGGAGGATGGTGGACTTGAGAAGGGAAAGCAGAGTGGAGGTTTGGAGAGGAATGTGCTGTGTAACTTGAGAAGTCTTTAAAAAAAACATACTGAGGAGATTTATTGTCCTGGGCTGGGCGCCTCTAGCCGTATTGCTAATGCACAGAGTTGTATGTGATCTTCCTTTAATTTTTTATAAACAAAATCCTCATTCAGATCTCATTACTATGTTAACTGTAATTTCCACTGAAGTAATTACAGCTAGAGTTAATGTTTTACAACATTTTTGTGGCATCTTGGTGTTAATATATCATTGGAAAAAAAAAAGAACAAAATGATGAAATATTCTGAAACATTGTTTGAAGGAGATCCAATATTCATAAATTATGATTTCACAGTACTAACAATAATTGTCCATAAAATGGGGAATTGGAGGAAGAAATGGAGGGCTTTGGAAAACTGTTTCACTTGAAATTTACTAAGAAAATGATTTATATCAAGTGTAGTATTCATTATTTCACATTATGTGTCACGGTCCTTAAAAATGATGTCTAGAAATGATTTATTGGACCTTGATAATTTATTGTGGGATTATACTGTCCTCTTCTGGTTGAATGGTGATTTACAGTATACTAAGGGAAGATTGTACACCATGCTAGTTCATGGGACCATGTTGTCACTAGTGTACACTTCACCTTTTTTCTAATTTCAGACATGAAATTTCATCTGTTTGGAGTATAAAAAGTTCACTTGTCTTCTATAACTGCGAGAGAATGGATTTGTTGAGAAGTTTGTGCAAAACACGTAACTAAAAGCATTAAAAAAATTCTCATTATTAGAAATAAAATGTTAACTGAAATAAAATATAAATAACCTTAAACTCATTTTTTTAAGCTAGTTGCCTAGGCAGCACTTCTCATTTGCATTTAGTTTAACTTGTTGTACTAAAATAACTTAAAACTAAACTAAAATGAATACAATCTACATAGACATAAAATAATGTTAAACTTTAACTAAAATGATAAACAATAAAAAATATTTCAAAAATATTTCAAAGAAAATAACATTGGTGCAAACTGGGCTCACACTGATTTTTCAGTAACTGTAATATTTAAATCAATAATAAAAAAATCTTTAAGGGATTCTTTTAGCCTTTTTAACCTGATAATATCATGGCGAATTATATCTGGCCAGATTAACTTTACATGAATTTATGTATGCTCTGTATACATTTAAAAAAAGATTCTACTGTTTTCTTTAACTTGCTTACTAAAGTGTTGTAAGGCACTATTCTGTGTAAAGTGCTTTGGAACAATATGTTTTGATAAATTCACTATAAAAAAAATATTTGAATTCATACATTAAACATGGAAAAACAGACAGGAGGGTTTCAGAAGATGTTTGGAAAAAAAAAATCTCCAGCTGAAGTCACGCAAGAAAAAGGTTTTTGTTAGGGCCAACAAAAAAATAACTGGTAGTCATTATCTGGACTATACAGTATTTCATGTAGAATGTCATATATATATATAGACAGTTGCAATCGAAACTATTCAACCCCCATTGCAAATCAGGTTTATTGGCAATATTTACAGACTTTCAGCTGTTTGCAATGAACAAATCAAACAACAGAAATTAAAATAGCTCAACACAACAAATGTTTCAAGTGGTTTCCCCAAATTCAACTGAAATGCAACTTTTATTGAGTCTCAAAATTATTCAACCCCTTCATTGCAAGCATCTTTAGAACACCTTTTTGCTGTTATGACCTGCTGCAATCGAGATGTGTAACCAGACACCAGCTTCTGGCAGCGTTTCTGAGCAATCTTAGCCTATTCCTCATGAGCAATGGTCTCCAGTTCGTAGGTTTGCCTGCTGCAACCACCTTCTTCAAATCCCACCAGAGATTTTCTATGGGGTTTAAGTCAGGTGACTGTGATGGCCACTGTAGAATCTTCCAGGACTTCTTCTGAAACCAAGCCGTGGCGGAATTTGAGGTATAAGGATCATTGTCCTGTTGGAAGGTCCAATGAATGAAGGTCCAATGAAGGTCCAAATACTTCAATGGATCTATCTTGCCTTCCACACGCTCCAGGTTTCCAGTGCCAGAGGATCCAAAGCAGCCGCAGAGCATCACCACCATGCTTAACTTTAGACAGAGTGTTCTTTTCAGCATATGCTTCATTCTTCTTCCTCCAGACATACCGCTGATCCATAGGGCCGAAACGTTCCAATTTTGTTTCATCGCTCCACAGAACAGAATCCCAAAACTTCTTTGGCTTATTTATTTGATTTTGAGCAAATTGGAGCAGACTTTTTATGTGCTTCTGGGTCAGTAGTGGTTTACGTCTTGGAGTTCTTGCATGCGTTTAGTACGCACCTTACTGTGCAGCTGTTGCATTTTCAGTTAATTTTGGAGAAACCACTTGAAACGTTTGTTGTGTTGAGCTATTTCAATTACTTTTGTTTTATTTGTTCATTGCAAACAGCTGGAAGTCTGTAAATTTTGCCAATAAACTTGATTTGCAATGGGGGTTGAATCATTTCGATTGCAACTGTATATATATATATTATACATTTTATGGTTGGTCTTCTTAATGTTTTGTTTTTTAACAGACAGAACACTGGCAGAAGCATTGACAGACACAAATTATCCCCAACGTAGTTTCTTCCATGTCTCCCTTACATACATTTTTGTCCATTTTTAATAACATTTACATTATTACATTATAGAATGCCCAATGCCCAGACTACAAGTTAAAATACCTAATTTTCCTAAAAAATATAATCATTAGTCTTCACTGCCATAACAACCATAACATTTATTTAGATACTATGACATTTCATCCAAAGACAATGTGTGCTGAAGAGCACATGCAGAAATACATGTGTGAGATACATAAGGCATGATGCTAGGGATAAGACAAGCATTAGATACAATACACAATCAAAACATTGACATGACCATAGTAGATATACTTTTTACTGACTGTATATAAGCAAAAACCTTTACTTTGTCTTCGGTGTCTTTTAAGTTCACAGTACAAGATCTTGCCACTGTATTCCAGGACTAGAAAGACCTGTACACCCCTTTTTGGATAGAATGACATTTAATACAGGTTAACACATTTGGAGTTCACATCAGGCGTCTTTTCTTTTTTTACCTTAGCACCGCTAGACATTTGAGACCTTCACGTTCCAAAACTAAAACCCTTCTCTAGCAGGTACATCTGCATTGACACATCGACGTCTCTCCTGATTTCCAAAACCTCCCTAAGTGGGACACTGGTCCTACAGATGAGAACTCAGTACAATATAGATGGGAACTCAGTACAAACACCTCAATAACAGAAGCGCACCAGAGCAATGACGAGGTACGTGAGGGTGATAATAGTCAGAGTAGAGAACAGGAGGAGAAGTCCAGTGAAAAGAACGTTGTTTATGGGTAGCTTGATGATTTTCCCTTCAGCTGGGATCATGTTGGAAAGTGCAAGCATGTAGCCAAGGGACCAAGCTATACTGGTCTTATTTACCTGAAACACAAAGAGACAAGTGAAGAGGTCCAGTTCACTGCAGCATTTTGGATAGACAGAGCTGATTTGCTGGAGGGGGAGAGAGAATATCATTGGCAGATATTTCACATTACAGTCATGCATTGAGACTTGAGGTGACTGTTCCGTAGAAATCACGTGCTCAGAAATGCATTTGCTGTGAAAAGGTTTTAAATTAATATTTCAAGTTCAGTTTAAAGTCAATCGACAACGTTTGTCAATACAAATTATGAAGTTTATGGTGAGCCACTTACAACGGATGTAAATGGGACCAATTCTTGGACCATTTAAAAGCAGAAATATGAAGATTAAAATGTTTAGAAAAATATGTACATTAAGTGTTTTGTTGCACTTTTTTATATACATTTTAAATAATTTTACAGCCTTTTTAGGTTATGTGCAATAATATCATGGCATATATATAGTATACAGTATATATTGTATGGCATCATTGTTTATACACACACACACACACACACACACACACACACACACACACACACAATATATAGCCTATATATTCACACAATCTCATGATAAACATGAAAGGCAATGCACCTCTTTCTGAAAATTGAGATTTTTCCAGTTGCCCGTGTCAAACTTGTAACCATCTGCAAGAATGGTATGCACATAATTTGCAGAGTAGCAGTAGGACTTCAGATGGATGTCTTTGATGCTGTAGTTTTGCTTGAGCTAAAGGAGGGGGAGGGGGGACATTAAATGGTAGGTTTATTGATTGTACACATCAATCATAAATGTAACAAAGAACCACAGCACTCATTCCTCCCAATCTATATTTTCCTGCAAGTCGTGATTATGCAGTTGGCTGGTACTCACATTTTTCCAGACCTTTGAGCAGAACAGCTCCATGTTCTTGTTGAATATATCCATACTTTTGGAACCCTCTACTTTAAGAGCCCAAGCAGTCCAGTAAAACCCTGCATATGCCTAAAACGCAAAAATAAGTGCTTTAATAGATCCAGATGAAAGAAATATAGCTTAGGCTGTAACATTTGGTCACATTAACATGCAAGAAACAATGACATTTGATGTTATTTGGGTTCCTCTGGGTGTGAAACTCCAGCAGTCCAGCATTACAATCAATAGATTTTAATGCTAATCCTAATTAAACGCACCTGGATTAGTTAATCGAGGTCTTCAGGATTACTAGTCTGTGTCTAAAATTGCCACCCTACCCTTAAATAGGGCACTATTTGAGGGAACAGCCATTTGTAGTGGTGTCCATTGTGGACGTTACCAAGTGCAGTCATTTAATCCCATAATGCACCGCAATAACTAGTGAACAACTGATGTACACTCAACGGCTAGAGAATACCCATAATGGACTGTAAGGGTCGTGCTTAATGAATTCCCATGTCTCACAGTAGATAACGCCGCAGCTGAATCATCCATCCATCCATTTTCAAAACCGCTGGTCCAATGTGGCTACAGCATAATATCATACAGATATAAATTGCTTTTTAATTCATTATTGAATTGTTCACTTAAGGTTTATACTTGCTATA